ACAGATACCTCCCTTTTCTGCTGTCAGCAGGTTAAGGGCTCATCGGTTCTGGAGAGTTACCTGGGCCAGTGATGTGATTTATCACTGGAGGGAGGCCAGGGAGGTGACTGATGCCTTAATGGCCACACAGATCTTGTCTTCTATTTGGGCAGCTGAAATGACACTGTAGCCCAGGGCGCCACTACCCAGCCCTGTTGCCGCTAGACAGGATGTTAGAGAGAGACCAATGACCATTGGGAGGAAAACTGCTCATTTGTCCCGGTAATCAGGGGAGGGTGGAAGGAGGGATAAGACACTTCTAACTGCGGGACCAAAGTGACAGGAAGGAGGCATTAATAACTTTAGTTAAGGTTAGGTATTCCATACCAGGGGATTAACTATGTCAGGAGGGATAGGGGTTTGGGGTGAAGAGTTAAGACAGGGTGTGACATCAGTTAAGAGTGGCAGTAGGAGATGAGCGGATGATGGGCTTGGGTGTGGGGTGCCAGTGAGTTGGAGAGTGGCCTCCACCATCTGGAGAATGTCTCATACTGGGCGTGAGGGCATTATTAAAAAGGAGTGAGAAAAGAGGTGTCCCTCGAGGACACAAGCTAAAGGATGAGTTTGATTAGAACAGGAAGGCTTTCCATTAATTCCCATGACTGAAACCTGGGAAGGTATGCTAGGTCTTGAGTAGGAAGGCAATATAGAATAGGTAGCCCCCTATGTCTACTTAAGAAGGAAATAGACTTACCCACTACTTCAATCATCTATGAGGCCAAGGAGTTCAAACGAAGGGACTGCATTCTTTGGACCAGCCTGCCCCTCACATGGAGGTGCAGGGGGTGAGCCTGTAGTCCAGAATGGGCAGTCTACCTTTCAGTGTCTGGTCCATTTGCAGATAAGACAGGGTCCAGGGGCTGGAGGTGGACAGGAGCACAGTCGGTCCCAGTGCCCCTCCTGGCCACATTTGAAGCAGGGCCTGTGTGGTACCTTCAAAGCAGTCTGGGCAGGTCTTAATGAGCCCCCTACACCAGATGCTTGGTAAGCTGCCGGCCTTAGAGTTGTTACAAGAGCTTGGGTTTGGAGGCTTACCTGTTGCTATAGATGGGCCATGCGGGTGGCCTCGGCCTTTGCCTCTCGACCATTAAAGGCCTTAAATGCCATGTTCACCAGGTCTCTTATGGGAGTTTGGGGGCCCTCCTCTGCCTTTTTCAGTTTCTTCCTAATATCTGGTGCTGACTGAGAGATAAAATGGGCTGCTAGGAGGGTAGCCCCTGATTGCCCATATTTTTATGCTGTTCAGTGGCCTAAGGGCGAAAAGTGGACATGCACAAACAAAGGGTGGGTGCCCCCCAGATGGGAGACCAGTCTAATGTCTTCCCAGCCACGTCCCCAGAGGGATGTTTCAGGGGTGTCTTGGCTAAGGTGTACCCGTATAACCCCTGGGCCTGGTCACCTCAGAACTCGTGGTCCTGAGGTGAATCACTGTTATGCCTTATGACATCTCCATGGAACCACAGGTGGAGGCCCACACAAGCCCTGTAGCCATCAAGCCGTGGGACTACACATAAACTGAGTCACACACGCACTTACTAGGGAACAGGAGGAGAAAGCAAAAGTACCTAGACGGGTGCCAGCTTACCAAAAGGCGAGTTGGAGATTGAGAGCCAGAGGTTTGGTGTTAGTAAATGGGCTTCTAATTATCCAAACGTTAGCCGCTGCTGCAAAGATGATCGGAAGGGCGGCTCAGCATCCTGGGCTGTCCCACTGAACACCTGAGACTATGAGAGGGTTCAGGAAGGTGGGGATGTCTCCCTCAGATTCCTGGCCCTGAGAGACCCCTTACGGGGAGAAGACAAGAGTGTAGGGATGTCTCTGCCACACTCGGGTCCTCAGAACAAGGCTGGGGCCCCGGGTCCACAGCAAGAGATGAGAAGGAGTCTCTGATGCAGCAATTATGAACAGGGAGTCCACAGAGCAGGCAGTGGGAAAAGTTATGGGCAACAAAAGTCTTACCTTGGGGTGAGAGGCTCCTAGTCTGGTGGGGTTTTGGCACCAAATGTAAGGTTTATTGCCGAGTTTAAAATGAGTAAACTGAGGCCAGTATAAGAAAATGAAAATCCAGTTTATTCAGCTCCTGGGCAAGGTTCCATGGTCCTGGGGAAAGGGGCCAGGGAAGTCGTGCCAACTTCCTGGAGTGTGGAGTTTTTATGGCTAGAAGGAACGAGCAACAGCTGGGTGCTCTGATGAACTCCAGGGGAGTGGGATTGAGACAGGGCAGGCTGCTATTGGTTAGTGGTTGTTGGGCAAGTTTTCCGATGGGAGAGCCAGCCAGGAGCCTTGCATCAGCTGGAGCCATCCAGGGGAGTCATGAGACAGAGCTGGGTGCCAAGTGCAGAGCCTGGTGCTGGGTGCAGAGGTGGGTGTGTCCAACCTCCTGGTGAGGCAACTGGCCTTACAGAGTTATTTGTAGTAATCTCTGATGGTAGTTTGTATTTCTGTGGCATCTGTGGTGATATCCCCTCTATTGTTGTTTATTGCATCTATTTGATTATTCTCTTTTCTTTTTTATTAATCTGGCTATTGGTCTATTTTATTGATCTTTTCAAAAAAACAGCTCCTGGATTTATTGATTTTTTTGAAGCATTTTTTGTGTCTCTACTTCAGTTTTGCTCTGATCTTAGTTATTTCTTGTCTTCGGCTAGCTTTTGAGTTTTCTTAATCTTGCTTCTCTAGCTCTCAATTTTGACAATAGGATGTCGATTTTAGATCTTTCCTTGCTTCTCATGTGTGCAATTTATTGCTATAAATTTAGTCCTAGACACTACTTTAAATATGTCCCAGAGATTCTGGTATATTGTGTATTCATTCTCGTTGGCTTCAAAGAAGCTCTTTATTTCTGCCTTCATTTCATTGTTTATCCAGTGAATATTCAAGAACCAGTTCTTCAGTTTCCATGAAGTTCTGCAGTTCTGAGTTGGTTTCTTAATACTGCATTCTAATTTGATTGCACTGTGGTCTGAGAGACTGTTATGATTTCTGTTCTTTCACATTTGCTGAGGAGTGATTTACCTCCAATTATGTGGTCAGTTTTAGAGTAAGTGTCATTGGGAGCTGAGAAGAATATATCGTCTGTGGATTTGGGGTGGAGAGTTCTGTAGATGTCTGTTAGGTTTGCTTGGTTCAGATCCGAGTTCAAGCCCTGGATATCCTTGTTAATTTTCTATCTCGTTGATCTGTCTAATATTGACAGTTAAAGTCTCCCACTGTTATTATGTGGGAGTCTAAGTCTCTTTTTAGGTCATTAAGGACTTGCTTTATGTATTTGGGTGCTCCTGTATTGGGTGCATATATATTTAGGATAGTTAGCTCTTCTTGTTGCATTGATCCTTATACCATTATGTAATACCCTTCTTTGCCTCTTTTGATCTTTGTTGGTTTAAAGTCTATTTTATCAGAGACTAGAATTACAACTCCTGCTTTTCCTTGCTCTCCATTTGCTCGGTAAATTGTTCTCCATCCCTTCATTTTGAACCTATGTGTGTCTTTGCACATGAGATGGGTCTCCTGGATACAGCACACCAATGGGTTTTGGCTTTTTATCCAATTTGCCAGTCTGTGTCTTTTGATTGGGGCATTTAGCTGATTTACATTTAAGGTTAATGTGGTCATGTGTGAATTTGATCTTGGCATTTTTATGCTAGCTGGTTGTTTTGCCCATTAGTTGAGGCAGTTTCTTCTTTGTATCAATGGTCTTTAACATTTGGTATGTTTTTGGAATGACCGGTACTGGTTGTTCCTTTCTATATTTAGTGCTTCTTTCAGGAGCTCTTATAAGACAGGCCTGGTGGTGATGAAATTTCTGAGCAATTACTTGTTTGTAAAGGGTTTTATTTCTTCTTCACTTATAAAGCTTAGTCTGGCTGGATATGAAATTCTAGGTTGAAAGTTCTTTTCTTGTCTTTTTTTTTTTGATTACTAATTTTGTATTGAAAGCAGTAAGAGGTTCCATGACACCAAATAGACCAGTTCTGAGGTTTCCCCAAGATAAATTTAACAGCTCCAGCTTCTTCAGTGTTTATCAAAATACAAAAGAAAAAAGTAGAGGTTGTCTTTTTCGATGGCAAATCAGACCCCCGCAGGCTGAGAAAAAGAAAGCTACATCACACATGGAGGTGGGGTGCTCCCGGGGGGCTGTGGGTCTAGGTAGACTGCCTGCCCAGCTTGCACGCACTCCTGCTGGTGAGACCCCAGACATCCTGCCAAAGTGTCTGAGCGAGCACAAGCAGTGGGGATGACAGACTCACTCTGGCCACATGCTGACTGAGGGACAGGGGGGCCCTGTTTTCCACAGGCTGCCTGAAGGTGGGTGAGGTGGCCTGAAGGAGAGTGGGGTGGCTGTGGATTCCCAGCCTGGCCCCTGGGAACCATGGGGGCACAGGAACCAGCACATGGCTATGGAATGCAGGGTGACCCAAGGACAAGCAAGTTGTGGGATCTCTATTGTGACCATGCAGAATTGATCGTGGTCTGCCATGCCACCGCCTCACATTCCCAAGGGGGAACAGCTGGTGACTGGCATCCAGGCTGTAACTGCAAATCTATACTAGGCAGGGTCTCCCTTCTGTGTGTTCAAGTGTTCTCGACTTGGATTTTTAACTATTTAAAAAAATGCACTGAGTTTGGGTTAAAAACCAACCACCAAAATGGATTTTAACACAGCTCTAAAGCCAAGAGTGTGCCCAGCTTTCCCTACACAGCGACTCCTGGAGGCCAGGTGCCCACAAACCTACATCCCCTCTCAGCACTGAACAGTGAGTTGATTTTTCTTTTTACAATAAAAAAAGCTGAACAATATTGCATAGGAGTAACAGAAACTGCCTCATTGGAAGCAAAAACTATTTACATTAAATAAACAGCCTGGCCACAGGCTGCATCTGCCACATTTACAGCATGGTGCGATGCACATGGTGACCAAACACAGAGGCAGCTTCTGGCACTCACACCACGAGCCACATGTTTGCCACATGAGAGTAAAGCAGAGGGTGAGAGGAGTGAGAGGGAGGGGGTTGCATTCACTTCTGGTTCTGGAGCTGATTGGACAGCCAGTCCAGTCGTTCATACAGCCCGTCACCACTGGTGGCACAGGTGGCCTGAATGTACCAGTTCCTGTGGTGTAGGGAGTGCAGGCCCAGCTTGTCTGTGATCTCGGCCACGTTCATGGCGTTGGAGACGTCCTGCTTGTTGGTGAACACTAGGAGGACACCATCCCAGAGCTCATCCTCAGCCAGCATCCTCATGAGCTCCTCACGGGCCTCATTCACATGCTCTCTATCATTTCTATCCACCACGAAGATCAGGCCTTGTGTGTTCTGGAAGTAGTGGTGCCACAGAGGCCAGATTTTGTCCTGGCCACCCATGTCCCACATACTGAAGCTGATGTTCTTGTACTTCATGGTTTCCACATTGAAGCCTATGGTGGGAATGGTGGTCACGATCTCACCCAGCTTTAGCTTGTACAGGATAGTGGTCTTCCCCGCAGCATCCAGGCCCACCATGAGGATACGCATTTCCTTTTTGCCAAAAAGGCCCTTGAAGAGGTTGGCGAAGATGTTCCCCATGCTTGTGGACAGGTGGAAGGACACTGTCCAGGGACACCTCAGCCAATCTCACCTGGCTGCTGCTCTGAGCCAGGTATTGGTTTCACTCCCCAAAAGTTCTTTTCTTTAAGGATGTTGAATATAACTCTCTTCTTGCTTGTAGGGTTTCTGCTGAGAGATCCATTGTGAGTCTGATGGATTTCCCTTTGTGGGTTACCCAACCTTTCTCTCTGGCTGCTCTTAGCATATTTTCCTTCATTTCAATCCTGGTGAATCTGACAATTATATGCCTTAGGTCTGCTTTCTTGAGGAATATTTTTGTGGTATTCTCTGTATTTCCTGGACTTGAATGTTGGTCTGCCTTACAAGAAGTTGTGATCTCTTGGAGGAGGAGAGGCATTCTGGTTTTGGGTGTTTTCATCCTTTTTTGAGCTGGTTTCTTTCCATCTTTGTGGATTTATCTACCTGTGGTCTTTGTAGGTCGTGACTTTTGGATGGGGTCTCTGAATGGATGTCCCTTTTGTTGATGCTGAAGTTATTTCATTCTGTTTTTTAGTTTATCTTCTAACAGGCCCCTCTGCTGTAGGACTGCTTGAGGTCCACTCTAGACCCTGCTTGCCTGGGGATCACCTGCAGCAGCTGCAGAACAGTAAGGGTTGCTGCCAGTTTCTTCTTCTGTTATCTTCATCCCAGAAGAATACCTGCCAGATGTCAGCCTAAGCTTTCCTTTATAAGGTGTCTTTGGATATATGGGGGTTGGGCAACTGCTTGAGAAGACAGTCTATCCCTTGAAGGAGCTCAAGTGCTGTGCTGGGAGCTGTGTTGTTCCATTCAGATATGCTGGGCAGGTACATTTAAGTCTGCTGCAGTGGAACTCATAACCACCTTTTCCCCAGGTGCCCTGTCCTGGGAAGGTGGGGCTTTATTCATAAGTTCCTGACATGCTGCTGCCTTTTTTTCAGAGATTCTCTGCCCAGCAAGAAGGTAGCCTAGTCACAGTCTGCCAGCAGAGGTGTTGCTGAACTGCTGTGGGCTCTGCTCAGCTGCTGTGTGAACTTCCTTGCAGTTTTGTTTTCAGAGGTATATTAATGATGGTCTGCCTCGGTAATGGTGGATAGCCTTGGTAATGGTGGACTGCCTTGGTAGTGGTAGACTGGCTCAGTAATGGCAAACACCCTTCCCCCCAGAGAGCTGGACCATCTCAGGTCCAGCTGCACTTCCTGTGAAATTCTCAATCCAGAACGATTCAGATTGCTGGTCTTTGTGGAGATGGGACCTGCCGAACAAGATCACTTGGCTCCCTGTTTCAGCCCCCTTTTTCTCAGTTGAATGGGCACTCTGTCTCCCAGGCATTCCAGGTGCCAGTTGAAACTGCCACCCAGATTTGTATGAGTTTTTGTGTGGAGACCCACTGCGCCAGCTGCAACAGCCATGCTGGAAACTCGTGGCACTTTTCAGCCTGGGAATCTCCTGGTCTGTGGAGATTCCAAACAAAAACTTGTTTGGAAATGTGGTGATCACTCACCCTCTGTGTTGTTGTCACTGGGAACTGCACTCTAGAGCAGTTTCTATTTGGCCATCTTGGGTCCACTGAGAAACCACTTTTTCATTGGTTTCAGCAGAAGGATGAGTGATGTGTTCAAGGCTGAGGGACTGGCAGGCAATTCCTGTGATGTCTTCACATGTTTGTTTCTGGCAGAAATTGCCTGTAATCCCAGCTGCTTGGGAGGCTGAGGCAGGAGACTCACTTGAATCTGAGAGGCAGAGGTTTCAGTGAACTGAGATTGTGTCACTGCACTCTAGCCTGGATGACACAGCGAGACACTGTTTAAAACACATATGCATGTACAGACAGACACACACACACACACACACACGGTCTGCTGAAATCTCACTTAAGCTGCACAGACATGCATCTATGACAGTGAATTTGCTTTTCCAAGTTCTTAGCTTTAAGAGGTAAGGTGGTGGTGGTTACTCAGGAAAATAACTTTCAACCCAGAATTTTGTATCCAGCCAAATTAAGCTTCATAAGTGAAGGAGAAATAAAATTCTTTACCGACAAGCAATTGCTGATTTTATCATGACCAGGCCTGCCTTTCAAAACCTCCTGAGGGAAGCATTAAACATGGAAAGAAACAACCAGTACCAGCTACTGCAAAAACATACCAAATGGTAACAACCATTGACACAATGAAGAAACTGCATCAACTAATAGGCCAAACAACCATCTAGTATCAAAATAGCCAGATCAAATTCACACATAACAATATTAACCTTAAATGTAAATGAACGAAATGCCCCAAGCAAAAGACACAGACTGGCAAATTGGATAAAAAGTCAAAACCCATTGGTGTGCTGTATCCAGGAGACCCATCTCATGTGCAAAGACACACATAGGTTCAAAATGAAGGGATGGAGAACAATTTACCGAGCAAATGGAGAGCAAGAAAAAGCAGGAGTTGCAATTCTAGTCTCTGATAAAATAGACTTTAAACCAACAAAGATCAAAAGAGACAAAGAAGGGCATTACATAATGGTAAAAGGATCAATGCAACAAGAAGAGCTAACTATCCTAAATATATATGCACCCAATACAGGAGCACCCAGATACATAAAGCAAGTTCTTATTGGCCTACAAGGAGACTTAGACTCCTACGCAATAATAATGGGAGACTTTAACACTCCACTGTCAATTTTAGACAGATCAATGAGATAGAAAATTAACAAGGATATCTAGGACTTGAACTCAGATCTGGACCAAGCAAACCTAAGACATCTACAGAACTCTCCACCCCAAATCCACAGACTATACATTCTTCTCTGAACCCCATGACACTTACTCTAAAACTGACCACATAATTGGAAGTAAGTCACTCCTCAGCAAGTGCAAAAGACTGGAAATTATAACAATCAATCTCTCAGACCACAGTGCAAACAAATTAGAACTCAGGATTAAAAAACTCAGTCAAAAACCAGACAACTAGATAGAAACTGAGCAACCTGCTCCTGAATGACTACTGGATAAATAATGAAATGAAGGCAGAAATAAAAATGTTATTTGAAACCAATGAGAATGAATACACAATGTACTACAATCTCTGGGACACATTTAAAGCAGTATCTAGAGGGAAAATTATAGCACTAAATGCCCATATGAGAAGTGAGGAAAGATTTAAAATCAACGCCCTATCATCAAAATTAAGAGCTGGAGGAGCAAGATCAAACAAATTCAAAAGGTAGCAGAAGACAAGAAATAACTAAGATCAGAGCAGAACTGAAGGAGATAGAAACACAAAAAAAACCTTTCAAAAAGTCAATAAATCCAGGAGCTTGTGATTTGAAAAGATCAACAAAATAGATAGACTGGTAGCAGACTAGTAAAAAGGAAAAGAGAGAAGAATCAAATAGATGCAATAAAAAAGATATAGGAGATATCAGCATGGATTCCACAGAAATACAAACTACTATCAGAGATTACTACAAATAACTCTATGCACATAAACCAGCAAATCTAGAAGAATTGGATAAATTCCTGGACACTTACACCCTCCCAGGACTAAGCCAGGAAGAAGTTGAATCCCTGAATAGACCAATAACAAGGTCTGAAGTAGAGGCAGCAATTAATAGCCTACCAGTCAAAGAAAGTCCAGATCCAGATGGGTTCACAGCTGAATTCTACCAGATGTACAAAGAGGAACTGGTACCATTCGTTCTGAAATTATTCCAAACAATACAAAAAGATGGAATGCTCCCTAACTCATTTTATGAGATGAACATCATCCTGATACCAAAACCTGGCAGAAATACAACTAAAAAAGAAAATTTCAGGTCAATATCTATGATGAACATCGAAGCAAAATATTCAATAAAATACTGGCAAACTGGGTGCAACAGCACATCAAAAAGATTATCTATCACAATCAAGTAGGCTTCATCCCAGGGATGTAAGGTTGGTTCAACATACACAAATCTATAAATATAATCCATCACATATACAGAACCAAAGACAAAAATTACATGATTAACTTAATAGATGAAGAGAAGGCCTTCAACAAAATTCAACAGCCCTTTATGCTAAAAACTCTTGATAAAATAGGCATCAGTGGAATGTATCTCAAAATAATAAAAGCTATTTATGACAAACCCATAGCCAATATCATACTGAATGGGAAAAAACTGGAAGCATTCCCTTGGAATACTGGCACTAGACAAGGGTTCCCTCTCTCACTATTCCTATTCAAAATAGTATTGGAAGTTCTAGCCAGAACAATCTGGCAAGGAAAAGAAATAAAGGGTATTTGAATAGGAAAAGAGGAAGTAAAATAGTCTCTATTTGCAGATGACATGATAGTATATTTACAAGATCCCATCTTATCAGCCCCAAATCTCCTTAAGCTGATAAGTAACTTCAGCAAAGTCTCAGGATACAAAATCAAAGTGCAAAAATCATAATCATTTCTATACACCAATAACAGAGAGGCAAATGATGAGCTCTCATAATTGGTACAAACAGAATAAAATACCTAGGAATACAACTCACAAAGGATGTGAAGGACCTCTTCAAGGAAAACTACAAACCACTGCTCAAGGAAAGAAGAGAGGACACAAACAGATGGAAAAACATTTCATGCTTCTGGATAGGAAGAATCAATATTGTTAAATAATTTATACATTCAGTGCTATCCCCATCAAACTACCATTGACCTTCACAGAACTGGATAAAACACCTTAAATTTCATATGGAACTAGCAGAGAGCCCACACAGCCAACACGATCCTAAGCAAAAAGAACAAAGCTGGAGGCATCACACTACCTGACTTCAAACTATACTGCAAGGCTACAGTAATCAAAACAGCATGGTACTGGTACCAAAACAGAGATATAGACCAATGGAACAAAACAGAGGCCTTGGAAGTAATGCCACACATCTACAACCATCTGATCTTTGACAAACCTGACAAAAACCAGCAATTGGGAAAGGATTTCCTGTTTAATAAATAGCATTGGTAAAACTAGCTA